TACTTTTACTACCTCTACACTTAGAAAAACATCTGCTTCTGCTTCACTGACTATGCAAAAGCATTTGACTGTGTTGACCACAGCAAACTATGGCAGGTTCTTAAAGAAATGGGAGTGCCTGATCACCTCATCTGCCTCCTGAGAAATCTCTATGTGGGACAAGAAGCTACAGTTAGAACTGGATATGGAACAACTGATTGGTTCAAAATTGGGAAAGGAGTATGACAAGGCTGTATATTGTCTCCCTGCTTATTTAACTTATATGCAAAATTCATCATGTGAAAGGCTAGACTGGATGAATCCCAAGACGGAATTAAGATTGCCGGAAGAAATATCAACAACCTCAGATATGCTGATGACACAACTTTGATGGCAGAAAATGAGGACGAATTAAATAACCTTTTAATGAGAGTGAAAGAGGAGAGCGCAAAATATGGTCTGAAGCTCAACATAAAAAAAACTAAGATTATGGCCACTGGTCCCATCTTCTCCTGGCAAATAGAAGGGGAAGAAATGGAGACAGTGAGATTTTACTTTCTTGGGTTCCATGATCAGTGCAGATGGTGACAGCAGTCACGAAATGAAAAGACACCTGCTTCTTGGGTGAAAAGCGATGACAAACCTAGACAGCATCTTAAAAAGCAGAGACATCACCTTGCCGACAAAGGTCCGTATAGTTAAAGCTATGGTTTTCCCAGTAGTGATGTATGGAAGTGAGAGCTGGACCATAAAGAAGGCTGATCACCGAAGAATGGATGCTTTTGAATTATGGTGCTGGAGGAGACTCTTGAGAGTCCCATGGACTGCAAGAAGATCAAACCTATCCATTCTTAAGGAAATCCATTCTTAAGCCCTGAGTGCTCACTGGAAGGACAGATCCTGAAGCTGAGGCTCCAATACTTTGGCCACCTCATGAGAAGAGAGGACTCCCTGGAAAAGACCCTGATGTTGGGAAAGATGGAGGGCACAAGGAGAAGGGGATGACAGAGGTGATTGGACAGTGTTCTCAAAGCTACCAACATGAGTCTGACCAAACTGCAGGAGGCGCTGGAAGACAGGAGTGCCTGGCGTGCTCTGGTCCATGGGGTCACGAAGAGTCGGACATGACTAAATGACTAAACAAAAACACTTTGGGATGCTGTACAATGAAGGTGCCAGATGCATTTCTGGTGGAGAGGGAGCTCCACAGCTTAAGGACCGCCACACACAATACCCTCTCATGGGCCACCCTGCCCAAAAGCCTCTGAAGGGAGAAGCATACCAAAAGGGCCCCCTCTGCCAATTTCTGCAGCCAATAGAGACCATAGAGAAGGAGATAGTCTTTCAGATACAAAAGACCAACACAGTGAAATAAAGCACCAACAGAAGGAGCTAAAAACAAACAGCAAAAATAGAGAGGAAAGGAGAAGGAGATGAAGGATTTCTTATTTGTATTATTGTAAGTTGCTTTAAGCTGTTCTTAATGTTGTGTTTTAATGTTGTAAGACACCTTGGGACCTTAGAGTGAAAGGCGGGTAGTAAATTAATAATAAATTGATTTCTTCTTCTTCTGCTGGTGTAGGGTTTTTTCATTTTATTGTGGATTTTATTGTTATGCTTTAAATTCATTTGCATGATATTTAGAAAATGACTTCACAAGGCATCTAAGAAGCAGAAGTAAATATATGTATGTCTCCTACTCAGCCCCTCCTTTCCCCATGAGATTCTCTAGGGCTGTTTCAGAGAGGCATGCTTACCTCGATGCATCCACTGCTTTCATAGTTTTGTGCCATTAAAGGGGGACTCTGGGGCATGTCTGGGCCATGGGGCACACTTTTCTGTCATTTTATAGTGCGTGCAATTTTTCCGTTGAAATCCCAGAGCTAAGGCTGCGCAACTTTGCTTAAGTACCTCCACATCACATCAACACACCACCTGGCAAGTACAGAAGTGGAATACTGATTCCACGGCCAGCAGACTTATTGCTTTAGAATTGGTGATTTTGTGGCTTGTGTATAACAGAAACTCATTTCATGGAGAATGAAAAATGGATACCTTCTATTATAGAAGACTCACCTCAGCATACCTCATCCATTGCTTATCAAGGCAGTGACTACCCTTGCAGGGAGGATTGCCTTTTCAGCAATAGAAAGCATTTAAAAAATAATAATACACCAATGCAGAGAAAAATTGCTTCATTATCATTTATGCTGTTCTACTTTAAAATGTGACCAAAATTTAACACCATAAATTATATTCTACATGAAAAGGATTACATTATCAAGCTATCCACATGCCTGATTAATCCCAGCTACTAAACTGCACATTAAATAAAAATATGTTGTTAGGATCAGAAGGTGCTTGGGCTTTGGCCAGCCGCCAAGAAAAGAATTTCGTGGGAGTCTGTTGTAGCATAAAGACTAAAGAGTCCCATGGCACCCAAAAGGCTTAAGAGTTGGCTTCAGAGCAGAACCATCGATAGCAATGGGACAGTGATAGGAGTTATCCTAAAGTGAGAAGCAATTTCATGGATCTGCCATCTAGCGATGGAAAGATCTGCCAGTTTTGGTTCTCTCTGTGTCTAATCCTAATTCAGTTCTCCACATTTCTTCCAGCAATTTGTGATTTATTTATTTTTAATCCTCTTGAAAATTCTTCAACTTTGAAGTGCAAATTTCTACTAATAAATATGTTTTTGTAAACAGTTTTGACTAATATACACAGTTTTGCAAGTATTTTCCCCCAATATAATGCATTTTCGTATTTTCTAAATATATATATATATATTCACTTTTATGCACTCTTTCCCTAATATATGCACTTTTGTAAGCACTGTTTCGTTGGAGAGTTGAAAAATTCAGAAAGGTGCAAATATTGAGGGATGGCTGTGTTTTGGAAAATACATATTTGACAGATGTGACATTAAATGCAAACTGAATTAATTTTCTCCCCATCCTGACTGCCAACACATCCAAGAGGCTGCTGGCTCATGCTTGCCAGGGCAGAAGCCGGAACAGTTTTGCCAAGTTTTTCAGCACATCAGGTTTATCCCCCCCTTTTTTTCCTCCATTGCTATGTCAAGTCCAAGTTGGCATATCTGAGGTGCTCAAACCCTTTCAGAGGAATGGAGCAGCTCTGGATCCAGTTGATCCATAGTCAACTGTGCCTGCACAATGCTCCCTTTCAGGCGTCTGCATTTGCAAGAACACTGCTAGTGGTAACTTTTCACGCACCAAAATCTCTACGTACTCAGTGGAGGCCCCCACAATAGTGGCATCCACCACAGAGGCTGGTGAGAGCCACCTCCACCTAACCCACTCCAGCAGGCGACATCAGCATTGCTTAGCCATGACTTCAGCGAGTCTACTCTAAGCATGACTGAGTCTGTATCCAAGCCTAACACTTTAATCTTGGCTTCAGGTTTTGGATACAACAGCCAACTGCTGGGAAGTAGTGTCCCATAATAATCGGAATAGCTAAGGATAATAGCTCCCCAGGTGTTAGATTTCTCAGGCTTAGTGCATCCCATATTTTTAGGAAACAAATCTATCCCCACGCAAGAAGGTGGAGTATTCTTATATTTCCAGTGTGCACAATTGTGTAAATATTATGAACCAGAGCTCTAGCAATACTCATGAACTTATACATGCATGTATATATAAATTCAAATCAACTTGAATGATTTGAGTATGTCCCAGGGGAAAATGGCTTGTGATTTGATAGAATGTCTGATGGGGATTTCATGGACTCTTTAGAGAGATAACTATCCTTTCATCTGTAAAATGGGGTAGTGATATGTCCGCATCCACACAAGATTGATGTGAGACTTACTTCAAGTTTAAAAGCCACTTGAAATGCTTCAATGAATTATAGATTAGGAAATGTGAATAATATAAAGTTATTATCTTTAATGGTGACCCTAACAGCTATTACTTTATTAGGTCAAGGACCTCAGTTTAATTGTCACTTTTCACAGTTCTTAACTGGAAGAACAGGGTTAGAGATGGAGTCAGAGATGTTTGTCACCTTATTACATTTATTAGAAATGTTTAAGCCTCTTCATTTATTCCCAGGTATATAATCCTATTATTCAGCTTTCCATAAAAAGCGCCAACTATTCTTAGCTAATCACTGTTTCATGGCTAGAACCTCTTAGTAAGTTTTTTTTAAAGAAAGCATGGTAATCTCTGGAATTTAAGCAGAATTAAACGTATTAAACATTTTTTTTGTAGCAGAGGAGACAGCTTCCACAATGAGCCACTACATACAACTGGTGTGAGTTGACCTACACACATACCTCTGTTTGCATGGGAGCTACTTCTCCACGGTGCATCACATTAGCGCAGTACATCTGCAGGCAGGGCTAAAGATACCAGGGTGCAGCAAAAGAAAAGACATGACACCAGCTTGGGATCAAAATGGCCACAACTATATTGATTACAGATGTAAGTTGTCTTTGGCATAGGAACTAGGTATGTATCCTGAATCAGCCAACCCAGCTGTTGGCTGATGTCTTCATCAGGGTTGAACTTGATGATAGGGATACCCCAATGATTCGAATCTAACGAGTGATCTCACCGGGTCACCATTTGGGGATATTCTGTGGCTTGTCAGTCCACAGATTAGTCATGCTGGCCACACGACCCAGATAGCTGTCTATGAACAAACTCCGGTTCCCTTGGCCTGAAGCGAGATGAGCGTTGCCCCCCTTAGTCGCCTTTGACTCAACTTAACCGTTCAGGGGTCCTATACCTTTCTTTTTTTTTACTCACTTTCTGGGGCTTCAGACAGAACCCAACCCCTGGACCTACTATGGTACCCTGAATTTTATCTTGTATCCAGAAATGGTACACCCACCCACCCCCTAGGTTTAGACATCTGATGAAAAAGGGCATTGGGTTGACAATGAGGAGGACAAAACCCCCAGACAGGCCCAATTCACCTGCAAGCATATTCCTTCCTGGCATCAAATATGGTGACTGAAAAGTTCCACAGTAAGGCCATACACGTGTGCTGCCCACTTACTTTGGGGCAGCGCCATAACATACAGGGTTAGTGGATGGGTTGACTGATTCCCGGCTGTGCTGCCTATGAGCACAGCAGCCAGCTTTTATAGCCTGCTGGTGGAACCAGCAGAAGACTGCCCCCATCACGTCCATCACCGGGGCATCACTGCTGCTCTCCAGGGCCTTGATTGGCCCATTCAAATGTAAACTTTTTTTGGCAGCCAAAGCCTCCCATGGCATCAGCCAACGGTGCAGGCAATCTGCTTTCCCCATCACCACCACCCCAGGGTCTCTGGAAGCTGCGCCAGGCACAACTGCTGCCAGCATTTTGGGATATAGTATGTGGTCTGTGTCAATACCAGAGGCATGCAGGAAAGCCCAGGCTGAGTTTAAGGAGCTGGTGTTGTCCGACAGAGTTCAAATGGCTTCAGTCTCAAGCATCTGAAGGAACACCTCTCCTTATATGAGCCTGTCTGATTTCTTAGAACTGATACCTTTCTTGTGTCCCCAGTATTGGGCAGAATGCATCATGTAATAAGAAGATAAAGGCCTTCTTCCGCAAGGGCACCTCAATTGTGGGATGCCCTAAGCACAGCTGGTGCCAATGTTACCTGTTTGTATAATGTTAATACTAGTCTGATGCTCCAGTGGGTTGTTCTGTGTGGGCTTCTGATTTTAGGGATCTGTTGCTTCATAGTTTTCTCTTTATTCTTGGATGGCTCTAAAACAAGGTTGGACAAAGGCTATCAAGAGCTATGAATCTAGATGGATATGTTCTATGTCCATGGTCAGAAGCTTCTGAATACCACAGGAAGGGAGAATATATTTGTGCTCAGATCCTGGTTATGGGCCTTCCATCGGCCTGTGGTTGGCTACTTCAAGAAAAGCATGCTGCACTAGATGGGCCACTGGCCTGATCCAGCAGGACTCTGCTTGTGTTTTTTATGTTTTATTCCGTTGTAACCCATCCTGGGAATGATACGGTGAAGGGCAGTTTTAAAAGACATTTAAACAAACTGGCTCAAGTTTTTCTGCCACTCTAGGTAGGTGAGGAAGGAAACGGGAAGAATGCATTAATTGGGACCACAACTATCTTTCTCTGAATGCATACAATTATATTTATAAAGCCATATGGAATCTTTTATAAGCATTCATTGCTGTAAAACAGATGAAATTATACAGTGGGTTACATGAGGACCTCAAGCTAAATGTATTATTATACCAAGGCTCTAATTATGCAACTCATGGCTCTTCACTAATCAATGCCAGTTAAAATGTTTCAGGCAAGCTTAAAGATATAGATATATAATCAGATATTAAGTACCTTCACAGGGCTCACTCTTCTCAGATGCTTTTTGTTTTACATTCTGAATGCTTAAACCATTTTAGCTGAATCAGTATGTTTTCTATTCTAACATCATGAATTTATCATATTAATTTTATTTCATTCTGTTCCATTTCCTCCTATTGTTGTGGCCTTAGTTGTTTTGCCATGCTTAACCACAGTCTCTGGTAATTAGAATGGTCACGGTCATTATTCAAACCGAGCGCATATGCCAGGGCACATGAATACAGTGAATCAGAAGGACCTTTTGAAAGGTGAGGTCAGGTCATTATATAAAGCTGTACATACCTGTTTATCCATGACTCACCATAGCTGAAGAGGTTTTTTAAAAGCAATTAATTGCATTTGCTCAGTAAATAAAACAGCTGGATACATTTGGGATTGACTCCATATGTCAACACACAATTTAATTATTCCACAATAATTACATGCAGCCCAGTACTACACTACAGTATTCAAACAAGGGTGCAGATCTCTTGGCTGAAAATGAATTAAAGGTCCAGATTAAAGTGCAATTAGGAAAGTTTTATAAATTTGATTGCTTATATCTCCAAATATCTCTTGGCAAGGAACAAAGCCATATAAAGTAGTTGATCCTTGAGAATTACTCTTTCACTTGAACAAATCACCTTCTGTTCATAAAACATTTTTAAGAGGCCACTTTTCATTGCAAGAGAAGTTAAATCTCAATTTGATCCCCTTGATGCTTGAGCTGAAACAGAAGACTTTTGTGTTAAATCAGAAATAACTGTACCACTTAGTGTGCTTTATACTTTGAATAAGACAGTGAAAAATCTTGCAGCAGGGAAGGGGCTGTGTGGAGGGAGCCCAATCCACCGATTCGGAAAGGTAGCATACAAGTTTCATATAGTGTCCATTGATATGACCATTTATAATGTGTGTAGTATATTGTGGATATTGTAAATTAAATACAGCTGTAGTACAGTGGTACCTCGGGTTAAGAACGTAATACGTTCTGGAGGTCTGTTCTTAACCTGAAACTGTTCTTAACCTGAGGTACCACTTTAGCTAATGGGGCCTCCCACTGCCGCTGCGCTGCTGCTGCGTGATTTCTGTTCTGATCCTGAAGCAAAGTTCTTAACCCAAGGTACTATTTCTGGGTTAGTGGAGTCTGTAACCTGAAGCGTATGTAACCCAAGGAACCACTGTATTAGGAACATTATACATTCATGCTATAGTACTTAGACTGTCCACTTATGACTGTGCAGACCAAGAGTCAGATCACCACTCAGACATGAATCTCATTACCGGTAGATGACTTTGGGCTGGTAACTCTCTCGTAGCCTAACCTAACTCACAGGGCTGTTCTAAGGCTAAAATGGAGTAGAAGCTCCTTGAGCTCCTTGCAGCAAACATGGGATATCCTTACCAGGCTCTGCTGAAGATTTCCATTACTAGGGGAGTTCAGGGAGTGGTGGTTCATAGCAAGGCCTTCTCTGCAGTGGCTCCCTATCTCTGGAATACTCTCTGCCCTGAGACACATTTGTCACCAAAGCTATTAACTTTTTTGTCACTAATTTGGACAAGGCTACCTATGCATTAAGATCTGTGGAGGAAGGTCTATCTTGTTCCATCAGTGGGATGCAGTAACACGGGATAGAGTCTTCTCTGTGATGGCACCCAGACTGTGGAATCCCCTCCCCTCTAAGTTATAACTGGCACTGATGTTGCTTGCCTTCCACCACCAGTGGAAAACATACCTCTTTCCCCAGGTTTTTACAGTAGCTTCCACAGTCAGCTAAAGTAATGAAGCCAGCTGAAAATCAATGGTGAATCTGTCTTCTTTTGCTGTGCTGATTGCTGGCTTGAACTGGTGTTTCAACTGTGAGCTGTTTTATCATTACAGGTAGGTAGCCATGTTGGTCTGCCATAGTTGAAACAAAATAATAATAATAATAATAATAATAATAATAATAATAATAAATCCTTCCAGTAGCACCTTAGAGACCAACTAAGTTTGTTATTGGTATGAGCTTTCATGTGCACGCACACGTAAGCTTATACCAATAACAAACTTAGTTGGTCTCTAAGGTGCTACTGGAAGGAATTTTTTTTTTTTTTTATCATTGTAACCTGCTCTGGGATCCTGAGTCAACATAAGGGTGGGCGAGAAATGGAAACAAATATATAAATAACTCTATTTTGATTCTGGCATAACATTTTTTTTCCTCCATAAAAGGAATATATGTGAAAATGTTACATCAGAACTTGGAGTTAGCGGGAAAATGTTGAACAAGAACTGTGATCAAAATAATTATGATTGGGATTTTCTAATAAGCAGAGAAAAAGGCTGCATCGCTTTGTCAGCCTGTCTCCTACTGAGGCATTTCTTTCACAACCTATTTTTCGCTGCAGTCTTGTCAAATAATATATATGTGGATTTTTGCCCCAGATCATACAAGTCTATTTTATATTATAGCCTATTCTTTCCTGCACCAAAGGAGTCAAAAATATAGAAAGGAAAGAGAGAGCCAACAATTTCCAGCAATTACCTGGCTAACCCTTGATTTGTAGTTTTACTGCATAAGGATTGTCTGTAGGGAGAACTGACCTAGCAGCACGCTATGCGCTTTTTGCCTGACTAGACTCTCTATTAAATGCTTACATTTGGCAAGGCAGGCAAAAAATAATAAGGCAGGTTTAAAGAGTGGCAAAGAAAGAAAGTGCATTAGAAATGGGTCATTCCGCTATGTACTATGGAATGATTTCTTTTCGTTTGGTTTCCTTTCCTTTTTTCATATACACTGTTACATGCAACTCTCAAAAAGTGGCAAAAGAACTGAAGTCCACCATGGCAATGACTCAAGCAGTTGCGCCAAATCATTCACAGTTATATAGAAACACTCCACCCACTTTAGAAGTCACACACATTCAGACTCCAGTTAAGCGGTAACATGATCCAGCAGTGGCCATCAGGGAGGGCGTCCCATTAGCAGCATTGCTGCAGTGTACTGGAAAAGTACAGTGATGTGGCAGATGGCAGTGAGGTCCAGTGCTTTGTGTGCACTGGCAGGAGTGCTGGATTGGCTACTCTGGTATGCCCAAACTACCCTGAACTCACCATTGCCCTGCCCCACCCCTTCACCATTCAACAGAGGCGCCAACTATAGTGGTCTCTGGGTGCCTGAACGCCCACAATGTTTTTGTTGTGGGTGCTCAGCACCCACACTGCAGGGCCCCCAACGCAACTTCCAGTGCCTCACAAAGCACCGAAAGTCACATCCAATGCCTCACAAGACCTCAAAGATGCTGTCTGAGGTCTTGCAATACCTCAGAACTTGAGTTCCGGTGCCACCGCCAGGTTCTGAGGCCAGGGGGGTGCATGTGATGTCACAATGTGATGTCATGTCGTCACATGCACTGCGCACCCATAACCTCGGGCCAAGTCGGCTCCCCTGCCATCCAAGTCTTGGAGGACTATGATGACACCTCTCTGCACCATCCACTTCTGCCACGATCTACACACAGAATCAGAATTGTAGTGTTGGAAAGGACCGTGAGGGTTATCTAATTGAGCCCCTTGCAGGAATCTTTTGTCCAACATAACCCATGGCCCTGAGATGTACGCACCTTCCTTCTCAGAGCCACTTCCAAGGGACACAACTCTTTAATGTCATGTCCACACCATATATTTAAAGAACGTGGTTTCCCCAGAGAATTCTGGGAGCTGCAATTTGTTGTGGGTGCTGAGAATTATAGTGCTGTGAGGAGCAAACTATAGTTCCTAGGAGTGTTCGTGGAGAGCCACGTGCTTTAAAGGTAGCCATAGTGACATTGTAGCCATAGCAGTGTTCTTACATGCTAGTCTATTTTCTGAAATTCTTTTACGTTTTTCAAGATACCTCTGAGGAAGACTAAGCTCTTCACTTTAGCTGCTAGCGTTTGGTTATCCATCAACACTAAACATCCATTGTCTGCTTCCTTTTATCAAGTCATGAAACCCCATATCCAACCACAAATTATACACCCCAAGCCCTTTATTTCCTTGATTTTAAATACCCCTCAGAATCTCAAATTGTACAACTGAATTCTGAATTCCATTCTGTATGTATAGAGGACTACTTACTAGGATACGAAGAGCATTTTATTTTGGGAAGTAGCAAAAAACCCCAGCTATTTCAGCAGCTGAGCAGCAAACACCATATTATCACATAACTTCCACCACACTGCTGCTATGTGGCACTGAAGTACGACTTTCTTTATAAGGTGGGAGATGCAGATCATAACAGTCAATGTCAGATATATAATAAAGAATCTCTTGATATCTATATTCCTTGAGAAAGCTAGAAATTGCATTTTTCCTTTACATAAGAGAGCATATAAGGTATAATCCAGGGTTGGATTGGGACTGAGGAGTCCTGAGGTGGTACTTCTGCTTGTGCAATGGAATGTGTTCTCCCATGGGCCCACTGCATGCTCCCCAATTCCCCTGTGGAGCATTGGGAAAAACCTCATAACAGATTTAGTGATAGGAGAGAGAGAGGGGAAACATCCTTGTTGTTGTTTAGTCGTGCTCGACTCTTTGTGACCCCATGGACTAGAGCATGCCAGGCACTCGTGTCTTCCACTGCCTCCCCCAGCTTGGTCAAACTCATGTTCGTAGCTTCGAGAACACTGTCCAACCATCTCATCCTCTGTCATCCCCTTCTCCTTGTGCCCTCAATCTTTCCCAACATCAGGGTCTTTTCCAGAGAGTCTTCTCTTCTCATGAGGTGGCCAAAGTATTGGAGCCTCAGTTTCAGGATCTGTCCTTCCAGTGAACACTCAGGGCTGATTTCCTTAAGAATGGAGAGGTTTGATCTTCTTGCAGTCCATGGGACTCTCAAGAGTCTCCTCCAGCACCATCATTCAAAAGCATCCATTCTTTGGCGATCAGCCTTCTTTATGGTCCAGCTCTCACTTCCATACATCACTACTGGGAAAACCATAGCTTTAACTATACGGACACACAGGCAGAAATCATTGCACTAGCAGAACTTTTTCATTGACTGTCACCCCTGATTTCAAATCCTTAGTCGTGAAGCTGACTGGTGGGAGGACATAGACATAAGTTTTATCCTGGGTTGGCCATCCAGTGCAGTATTGTCTACACTACCCAAAGGCATCTTTCCAGAATTTCATAATGGATCTCTCCCAGCCATATCTAGGGATGCCAGGTCCCTTTTGCAAGCAAATATGTGCTCTGCCCTTCAAAAGGGTGGCTTTAGGTCAGTCGTTACCTGCCAGCTTAGCCTATGCCACACAGTTGATCTGAGCATCCAAGGAGAGAGAGAGAGAGAGCGTCATCTGTAATGTCAAGAGCTTCACAAAAAACCACAGTGGGCTATAAATAAAATAAACAAATAAGCTATCCCTGAAAATAAGAAAGGCTCTACAGATTGCCATACAAGTCATTATGATTTGGCATTCCATGTTGCCAGCTGCATTGCATGCCTCTGGGAGTTGTAAAAATAAAGATCAAAATTTTAAAGTTGCATTTTTCATGTGGTAGGATGGAGATTTTACTTTAGAAGAGTAGCAATGTGCATTTGTACTGTTGGGAAGATAAACTAGGGTCTATAAGCAAAATGGGCATATAGCTCAATATGTGTACTTAAGGACAGGTGAGCAAGGATTTATTTATGAACTGAACAAGAAATATAATTCTGTATATTGTGCATAATTGAAAAGATCCTTTCAAATTTTTGGCAAGTTGCAATGGGCACCAGTCTCTATAGGCAACCCAACACAACCTGTGAATAACCAAAGAGAGATTTTATCACCTTGTAAATGTGGCACATAAGAAAGCTGAATGGAAACAGAGCAGAAAGACTGGTTATTGTAATTTTTAGAGTGGGAGCAGCTGTGGCCTGTTGCAGCCTGGCACAGCTGCTGGGGAGTCAAGGGTGGAAGGCTAGAGGTCCCATGTAGTCAGCTAATGTCAGCTGTGGCATCCACTGGCCCTGGGGGGCTAGCAGGATTTCCCACCAATAAAATTTAAATTTAAATGGGCCAATCAGTGGTCCAGAGGGGCAGGGGTTACCCCACATGCAGACCTGACTGGGAGTATGTCTGGAACTGTGATGTGTGCCTGCAATGTTCTCTGAGTACAGTTTGGAAAACCCTATGAAACATCCAATCATTGGTCCAATAAAATTACATTATCTGCTTTGTGAATCTTGGGTCCTTTAATGATCCCTGGATACACCTGAACATCTTTGTGTTACAAATTACACAGTGCATTGAGCCTAACTCTTACATAATAGACCCTGCCAGTTTGTACATTTGAATTAATGATGTGCAAATAATTCTGATATTACCATGAAGAAACTATAAGTTGATTATCTTGATCCTGTGTTTTCTTTGTGCATACAAAGTAGCTTTTCGCTCTCTGAAGTTGGCTTGATGAAATCCCATATCATTGCATTATCAGTGAATTCCATCCAAGAATTCAAAATTTAGCATGCTGATATTTTAAGCAACAAGCTTTATTTGGTTCAGTAATAAGGAACTTCAAACTTGTTGAGTAACATTAAAGTGCAATGATTAAAGTTTAGTACAAAATGAGTTTTGGAAGCAAGGGGAACCTGTGAAAGAAAGAGGACAACGTAGACCATTTAGCAAACACTTAATAAAAAGCAGTTGTTTGAAGACTCTTTTGGAAGCAACTTTACTTAATTTCTAAGGAAATATTAAAGTAGTGCAGAACTGAAGTAAAAAGAAAGTTCTAGGAGCATTATGAAAAAGGTGCATATTCCAATTCCATTTGTTAGTTCTAATATATGCTTGCATTTATTTAAAAGCAGTGCTAAATAAGTTTAGGGGTACTCTCATTTTCCTACTCATATTGAAATATTGCCCCTCAATGAGGCCAAACTTAGATTCACAAAATGTTTAGGGGTATGTGTACCCCTGCATCCCCCCAGAAAAAAGCACTGTTTAAAAGCCACTATTTTCAATCCTTTTGAATCACTGTGTCAATGAAGATAAGACTGAAACCTTCATATAGGTTTCAGTTTCCACTGAAGTGCTCAAGCAATGCTCGGGCTCTACCACCGCAGGCGA